GAAACCAGGGACTGGCAGAGAATCGTTTTGGGAACATGACGAAGCTTGTGTGTGTCTTTTGTTAGCCTAGCGTGGAAACGACCGAACCCCGGTTACCTAAGTGAAAGGTTTTTAACCATCAAAAATACCTATCACAATACTCCGAGTATTATTTAATGCAACAATGCCACAAATTCTTACTAAATAATGTCCCCAACTGTGTAATTCTTCAACTCAATTATCTTAGACATGGTTGTGCAAAAAAACAAAACATTGTCTGTGTGTAAAGTTATACATGTATATGTATTTTTCTGTTGTTTATTTAATTCATTTCAGTTTAACTGGAAATCTAATACTACAACTGATGTCAATGAGAATTTTAGTACACAAGAACATTTAGTAAATCCTGTTTGCTTTGTCATTAATGTTCAGTGATTTATTTATTTATTTATTTATTTATTTATTTATTTATTTATTTATTTATTTATTTATTTATTTATTTATTTATTTATTATGTACAGGAAATACTGTTATAGATCAAGCAAAATATCATATAAGTTATAAGATAAATTTGTTTTTTCATCTTCAATAACATTTCTTTTATTTCACACATTAAGTTGTCCTTTTTTATTTTAAAACTTGGACATTGCAAAATAAAATGTTCAAGGGTTTCTTCGACTTTTTTCATAACATGGAAAAATTATGTCATCTTCACTATTATTTTCCCATTTTCTTTTTTCATATGCCAACCCAAGAGTACATGATCTTGCTCTGAATTTCAGCTGTGCGCCTTTAAAGTTATTTATTGACTGAAGATATTTTTAACTTTTCAAGCTAGTTTTGAATTATCTATAATAATTAAGGCTTGATGTTAACTTCATATCTTCTCTCCACTTGGATTCATCATGGTTCAGAACCAACGTGATTCAAACTATTATTACACAATGTATCAGCACTGGTTGTTTTAACAGGCATGAATCGTTAAATCAGCTCATATTTCTATTAATTACCATTTATACTAAGTGAAAAAGTTGGTATACAAAATATATAGTGCCGTATGCTAGATTTGATTTATTTGTCACATACTTGGGTGTTTATTTGAGTACCTGCAGCTTTTGTAACTTCGAGGCTTGTGTTGATATATTTGTTGCAAGCAGACACTTCAGTAAATCATATAAATTATATTCATTAACATTAGGTGCTAGTGAATCAGAACTGGTGAAGTTGGCAAAGAAATTGTCATCAATTAGAATCGTTAGAATCAGTCATGAAACACCAAACTCTGGTAAAAGACAACGCAAAAATAAACAGCGTGCTGATTTTGTGGATGAAGAAGACAGATCTTCTGAAGAGGAAACTGCAGGTAATGATCAGTTTTTTATACATTTTCACAAGTAAGTCTGATATTACTTGCCCGTTATGGACTAGTGCTAAATTCTCATTTTTTTCAGGTAAATTAATTGCCAGCTGCTACAGCGATAGCCATTTTTGAAGCGCATAGTCAAGTCAAATGTACAAACATCAATATACTTTTAGTCAGCTTTAAAAGTTGTTGCAAAATTATTTAAACTTAAATCCTTTTGAAAGCTTTGTTGCATTGTCCAAACACTGTGTTGATCTGGTTGTCAATCACGCTTTTGAGAACTTACCGACTTTCAAATCAATGGAACTTCTGAAAAGAAATGTATACATATTAACAATTTCCTACAATGTTAGTATATTATCTACATTGGATATCACTTTCATTCCAAGACAAGGCTTATGGCTTTTATGGTAAAACATATTAAATTGATTTTCTTTTGATTTGTCTTGCACCTTCAGAGTCTCCAAGGAAAAAGAGAAAGAACATTAAGTCAACTAGCAAAAATAAAGTTAGCACTAAAACACCTAAAGAAAAAGAAACAAAAGGTAATATTGCATTTTTGGAATAATAATATTGTACTTTACGATCATTATTCTTCTCTCAAAGGCTTAATATTTCCCTAAACGAGCACATGGTGAACCAACATTGTAATTAAGATAATTTTTAGATGTGGGAGGGTGTTCTGCTAGGTGCTCACTCCCTAAAAAAGATTTTCGAATCTTGAGTATCCTGGGTATGGTAACAACATACAGATATACTGGGTACGACAGCCGATTAAATGTTAAATTTATTATTGATGTTTTTTTTTTCAGTTTTGATATATCTCTACCTTAATTAAGAAAACAACACTATAGGTGTACACTACAGTTTTATGGATTTCTTGTGGTACATTTTATACAGTGCATGTTGTTTATTGAAAATGCTGTTTTGTTTAGCTTAATTTGCTCAGTTCAGTAGCACAGAATAATACTATGTTTGTAATGATAAAACTTTTTTCGTCACCAGAGTCGAAAGAAGCTAAAGAAAAAAAAGAGCAATTCAAGCCAAAAAACAGGCATCACAAGACCAGGCAAAGGTGCTACTTGGTGATCTTATCGATGTACGAACATCAGAACAGAAGATCCCCACATAACCAAGATGACAGGTCCCCTCCCAAACATAGTGACAGGACCCCTCTCAACCAGTATGACAAAGCCCATCCAGACCAACAAGACAGTTCCCTTTCCAACCAACATAGCAGGTTTCTCCTCAGCCAACACAACAGGTACTCTTCCAACCAACATGACAGTAGATCCCCCACCCGCCAACATGATAGACCCCCTCCAAACCCATGTGACAGTAGATCCCCCACCTACCAACAGGACAGCCCCCCTCCCAATCAACACAACTGCTACCCTTCCAACCAACATTACAGTAGATCACCCACCCACCTAAATGACAGTCCCCCTCCCAGCCAATACAACAACTACCCTCACAATCAGCATGATGGATCCTTTTCCAACCAACATCACAGATGCCCTACTAACCAACTGATTGCAACCAATGACAGATCTGTCAACCAACATGACAAATCACCACCCCTTGAGGAGTACAGCAGACCACTTTCTGGCCAACATTACATTTCCTATCCTGACCAATGTTACAATTACGCTCCTGACCATCAATTCAGTTCTCTCAATGAACACATCAATACCAGCCCATCTTTCCTAACTCTACTTGGAAATTCTGATGTGTGTGCTGAATGCCTTTTAAAAGACAAACAACTGAAAAGCATGCAAGAAAAGCTTCAAAAAACAGAGATGGACTATCATCATATAAAAATTAAATACCAAGAATTGAAGGCTTCAAAAGGTAAATACGTGCTTCTTTATGTGCTTGTAATGATTTCATGGTTTTTAGCACATGTCTCCTAAGTTTAATGATCTGAATCTCCCTGATGGCTTTATTGCTCCCTGTAGTAAAGGTATTGAAATATTGTTCATATGTGTGCAATTGTAATATAAAAACAAAAATATGTTCAATACCATATTCTTTTTCTTTCAGCTTTATATTCATGTACTAGCATCTCTCACACTCCTAGACACTATGTACCAGTGCGTGGTGTACAGATTCCTGCAGCACCACATGTAAGCATATAACATTTTTAGTCTTGGATGAAGATGGTTACTAATAGATTTTGGTTGTTTTCTGTGTGTCTACCCTTCAGAAGCTATATCGCCTAAAGTCTTGTATCTGGTGTGATAGTGACACAGAATTTGAATGGTATACATAATACACACCATATGTATTCCTAATTGTTAGACATCTTGAGTGTCTAAACAATAGAGTGACTACATGTATAACCATCTTAAATGAGAACCAGTGCAAAACACATACCATATTTTATACTGTCGTATACATTGTGCTACACACAAATTATTCTGAAATCAATTTTGAAGGATTGGTTTGTTAGCTAGAATATACAAAAACAACTAACACTTTTAATTTGTATTATATGATTCTTTCAGGAATTTGTAGCCCTAGGGACCGATCCACCATTAGGGTTTGAGAGGCTGGGGAGTACCAATTTATGTGTACAAAGCTTATGGCTATCAACAGTCACATCTAAATGCAGAAACGATTCTCCATCACTTTTTATGAAAAAAATGATAGATGGGTTTTTTCTACCAGAGCAGTTGAGTGGTATGAACAGAACTAAACTGGCGGAAAATATAATTGGCTATAAAAAATTGGCATTATAATGATTTTTGAAACCTTTTCACATGCAATATCAGGTATATGATACATGTTACAAAACAATCGATTCTTGCATATTCAAATTTTACCATTAGGTTTTCTCTCAATTTGTAGAGTATGCCTGTAGTCATCTAAAAATGGCAGATAGGGACATAACTACATTGGTGAACCAGAAGTGTTGCTCCATAAAAAGAGCTCACCTCAACAGCATGAGAGGAAACAACACACAGGAGACCAATTTGTGCCTTTTTTTATTTAGTGACTGACTGGTCTTTTTCAATAAAATATTTTTTTGGCAATATATTTATCATGTAGTTAATTTGTTGTTCACCAAACCCCAGTATACACCTGGATGCATTTTGACGATGTCAGAATGTACAAGAAAGTTCCCAGTACTTTCTGCATAGTCCTTTTATAAAAACTCATTGCTGCATAAAGCTGAAACCTTCCCGATGCTTTCTCGCATAGTCCTTTCATCAAAATGGTTTGCTGCATAAAGCTGAAACCTTCCCGATACTTTCTCGCATAGTCCCTATTCAAAATAATTTGCTGCATAAAGCTGAAACCTTCCTGATTCTTTCTCGCATAGTCCCTTTTTAAAATGGTTTGCTGCATAAAGCAGGAACCTTGCCGCATAAAGCGGGAACCTTCCTGATACTTTCCCGCATAGCTAATTTGCATGCAAAAAAGACACCTATCTGGAAGGTTCCCGATAGCTATCTGGTGCTGAGCAGGTACACTATGCAGGAACCCTTATATTTTTATAAGGGCAGGCATCAATAATATACACATATTGTGAAAAACATTTCTCATACAAAATATGTTGTAATTCATAAATGAAGTTAAGTGTGGTGATTAACCATGGTAGTAGGACTGAATGATTATTTTCATTTGACAGTACATAGCAACCATCTAAAATGAAATAATGTGCTACATCATTGAGCATCAACAAATCAGAGTACACAGCACAGTTGAGAGATTACCAATTATGGTTCACAAGAGTATCAGTTTTTATGAAAAAAAGAATGACAACGACCCTTTAAATTCTCATTGTTGAAAAAAAATTATAATTAACGCAACACATAGCTTTGAAAATAAAGCTTCGAAACTCTTAAGCTCCAAACTCTCTCAGAATGTAGCTATACTGTATACTGTACCACAAGCTCATCTGTGTGTCCATGAGCATTATTTCACAGAATAAACTTACTGCATGCACCACACACAGACTACAAA